CCATAACATACTTCAATGAGCAATCAAGCGGTGAACCAATCAGCACAATAGAAGAGAGAGAGAGAGAGAGAGAGGACTATGCAATCCACCATCTTGTATAAAAAAATAGAAGAAACTTGAGAAAGAGGAAGAGCACCCAATTATAGGAAGAAATCATGGAAATTTTGCAAGTGAAAGAAAACACCAGCCCAACAACACATCACTCTCTTTTTCTTGCTATATGAAATATAAACAAAGCATCGAGTATTCTGACATTTTGAAAACCATACGGCCCACATACTTTTTAGGGAATTCAAGCATTTCTGATCCAAAGAAGAATAAATTTTAATGGTATCCACTGACCAATCATAGTAAAACTCGCATTGGTTTAGCTACAAAAGTTACAGGAAAATTGTATCACCGTAACTCGCATTGGTTCAACTACAACAGTTACAAAAAAATTGTGGCCTGATACAATAAGGCCCAACTTCTGAGAGCAAAACTCAAATTGATTCAGCTGCAACAATAATAGAAAAATAAGGGAATAAAGGGGACACTAATAACCCAAATCAACTAACCTACGAAATAAACAACCATTAATCATGGCATCAACATATTCACCCCACTCCAATTCATTCAACCACCTATAAATCAGAACAATTCATATGACCCACCATAAAAGGATCCTATATCCCACGGACTAAAAGTTCAAATTAATTGGTATGCAACAAAAATTGGAAAGACAACATAGATCACCTCAAATTCATGAATGCACTCATGAATCACATCAATTCTATGAAACCCAACACAAAAAGATCCTATCCGACAAACAATTAACTAAATTTGAATCAGCTACTCCAAATCATAAAAAATTAACAAAAAAATTAAGAAAATAAAATAAAAGCCCTAATTCATCCATCCCCAATGAATAGTCACAAGAACAACACTTCAATAAGCCTCAAATAAATAATTACAAATCATAAACCCCAATACAAGAACAACAAACTCAATAATCACCAAACTCTCATTTCATCCAATTCCCATAATCATGAAAAAAGTTGACCAACCATAAATCCCATTATAAATATCCTAGATGCTTAAAAACACCAAAATTCACATTAAAAAAGTACCAAATTAGATAGCATAAAAGGTTAAAAGGAAAAAGAAGAGAATAAAAGAGAAAAGGGAACCAATTAGGGCGAGCTTTCGCTGCTCATCTTCTATTTATGCACCCCTCTAGAAGCTGGCTCTCTCATATGAAGAATAGAGACACAGGTAAAAACCCAGAAATTTAGAGAGAGAAAGCTGAAAGAGAGAAGATTGAGGGAGGAGCATTAGGGATAGCGAGAGAAAAGAGGGAGAAGGATGAGAGTGAGTAGAGAGAGAGAGAGAAGATTGAGGAAGAAGGTTGGAGGGTAAAAAGGAAAAATAAGAGAATAATAGAGAAAATGGAACCAGTTAGGGCGAGCTTTCGCTGCTCATCTTCCAATTATGTACCTCTTCAGAAGCTGGCTCTCTCCTATGAAGAATCGAGACACAGGTAAAAACCCATAAATTTAGAGAGAGAAAGCTGAAAGAGAGAAGTTTCAGTGAGGAGCATTAGGGATAGCGTGATAAAAGAGAGACAAGGTTGAGAGTTGGTAGAGAGAGAGAAGATCGAGGGAAGAAGGTTAGGAGAGGGTAGAGAGAGAATTTTGAGGGAAAGGAGAGAGAGAAGTGCGACGAGCTGTATTTTTTTTTTCAGCGTTTTCAAGGCGTGATGGGTAATCCGGATGCCCCGGTTTTCTTTTTTGGCGGCATGCAAAATCACTACCGTCGGAGTTAATGAACGGTGACAGTAGCTGCAGCTCAAGTTCAACATTCAGAGCTGCGGTTCTATGGAAACCGTATATATATATATATATATATATGGAGAGAAAATAATGAGATTAACCCAC